AGTTGTTGTAAAATAGACTGATAAACAGTCCAACAAATTGAAGGACAGTAATAAGGCATGTAAAGCTAGTGTTGCTAACATCGTCACATAAGTGGATCTGCAAAAGACGGCGAATCCCCTATTGTTCAATTCAAGCGAGCAAATCCTATTATCAGGCGAACTCAACGGCGCGCATGAGGCTTATTCGGTTTGTATTTCACGGAATCCGATGAGAAGAGACGAAGTTCTTATTTCGTATTAAAGCGTCATAGTTATATTTTGCAGTCAGTGCTGAATAGGTAGAGGAATCTACTGAAGGTTGTCGTATTCCTTCGACATCCAGGTACTACAACTGATGATTTCACTTAGATGTGCAATCCTAGTGTGTTGCAATAGAGCCGCAGAAGCTAGTGCATATGTTTCGTAGCTGGGCCAATAAACAGTTCAACATACGGAGAGCTTACTAGACATGAAAGAAGTCTATCAGAATAGACAAGGCCTAAGAGGAGGGAAAGGCTGACTGGGAGTGCACTCGAATCAGGAAGGCTTACTGAACAAAACATATGATATTGCTGAGCCATCAAAATAGCCCTCCTCTGTCACTGGGGTCCAATGAGAGTGAATCGGATCAGACTCTAGAGAAGCACCGTCGCCTGCCCTTCGAAATCAGTTCGATTTTGCACGGAAAGTAGGGAAGTACTGCAGGCATAGCCAGTGACAACTGGACGAAAACCTTCAGTATCAATATCTCTGGCTCTTATCGACTATAGGAAAGGCTAGTTGCACTGTATCCACATAACTCTCTTCGCACACCCGCGATGTCCCGGTGGGAAGAGTGGACACAGTTTCTGACACACCGCAAACTCCAGAATCACGTGTGGAACGACGCATTTGTTTTTCTGATAAAGCATACTTTTAAGAGCAGGAGAATTCACAGGACACAACTCAAATTCAGCCATGAAAACGCCCCAGGGAGGCACGCCAAACAATTATTCCAATTTCTTTGACTCAATGGGGAAAAACCGAGCGGCCTCGGTGGGATTCGAACCCACGCCAGCAAGGGGAAAATTTTAGTACAGCCAGCACTAACCATCTGAACTACGAGGCCCTACCGGGAGCCGCGAGTTTTAATCACAATTGGGTCAAGTTA